GCCCCGGTGGCCCCGGTGGCCCCGGTGACGCGGTCGCTGCCCGCAGTGTGCGCGGGGACGCTGAACGGGCTGAGCGTGACCGGGGACGCGCAGCACCAGTACCAGACCCTGCACAAGATGTACAACAACTGCGAGATCGTCATGGGCAACCTGGAGATCGTCCTCATCGACCACACCCAGGACCTCTCCTTCCTCCAGGTGACCCCTGGGGTGGCCACTGAGCGGGGGACGTGGCCAGAGGGGACAGGGACCACGTAGGGGACGTTGCTGCAGTCAGCCAAGGAAGGACATGGCCAGTTTGGAGGGGATGTGGCCACCATGGGGGCCATGGCCATCAAAGAGAGGACATGGCCAGCCAAGGGAGGACATGGCCAGTTTGGAGGTCACCTGGCTATAATGGAGGCCATGGCCAGCCAGGGGAGGACGTGGCCAGTTTGGAGGGGACAGGGAGCCCATGGGGAATTTGGCTGTGGTTACCCGGGGGGAGGACATGGCCACCAGGTACAGAACATGGCCAGCCAGGAGGGGACATGGCCACCACAGGGAGTGTGGCTGTGGCCAGTTTGGAGGTCACCTGGCTATAATGGAGGACATGGCCATCAAGAGGAGGACATGGCCAGTTTAGAGGAAGAATTACGGGGACCGTGGCCATCAAAAAGAGGACATGGCCAGTTTGGAGGTGACCTGGCTACTACAGGGGGAGTGGCCATGGCCAGTTTGGAGGGGACAGAGACCACAGTAGGGGTCATGGCCAGTTTGGAGGTCACTTGGCCACCACGGGGACCATGGCCAGTTTGGAGGGGACAGGGACCAGAGGAGAGAACATGGCCAATTTGGAGGTGACCTGGCCACCACGGGGGCCATGGCCGTGGCCAGTTTGGAGGGGACAGGGACCACAAGAGGGATCATGGCCAGTTTGGAGGTGACCTGGCCACCACGGGGGCCATGGCCGTGGCCAGCCCGTGACGCCGAGCCCCCCGCAGACCATCCGGGAGGTCACGGGCTACATCCTGATCGCCATGAACGTGTTCGCGGCGCTGCCGCTGCAGAACCTGCGCGTGATCCGCGGCACGCAGTTCTACGAGGATCGCTTCGCGCTCTTCGTGCTGCTCAACTACAACCCCAACGCCACCCACGCCCTGCGACAGCTGCGCCTCCACCGGCTCACGGGTGGGGACGCCGGGACACGGGGGGGACATGGACAAGGGGGGGACACGGGGGGGACACGGGTGGGACAGGGAGGACACGGCAGGGGACAGCACGGGGGGACAGCACGAGGGGACAGTGTGGAGGCTGGGGACACCGTGATGGGCTGGGAACACTGCGGGGAGGGGACAGTGTGGGGCTGGGGACATCGTGTGGGGCTGGGGACACCATGGAGGGCTGGGGAATGGGGACACTGCAGGGATTGGGGACTGGCGACACCCACGGGAGTGGCATGGACAAGGGACACCCCCAATGTCCCCACCCCGGCATGGGGCCACCCCTCTGTGCCCTCCAAGGTCCCCATCCCAGGGCAGTGCCACCCCCGTGTCCCCTGTGCTGTCCCTTGGAGTGGGGAGGGTCCCCAAGATCTCCATCCCCTCCCTGTGCTCCTGAGCAGGTGCAGGCGGGGTCTGTCCCCCTTTGTCACTCCCTGTCACCATCCCTGTCACCCCCTGTCCCCCTCTGTCACCCCCCGTGACCCTCTGTCACTCCTGTCACCCCCTGTGCTGTCCCTTGGAGTGGGGATGGTCCCCAAGGTCCCCAAGGTCCCCATCCCCTTCCTGAGCTTCCAGGCAGGTCTGGGGGGTTCTGTCCCCCCTTATCACCCTTTGTCACCCCCTGTCCCCCCCTGTCACTCCTGTCACCCCCTGTGCTGTCTCTTGAAGCAGGGATGGTCCCCAAGGTCCCCAAGGTCCCCAAGGTCCCCAAGGTCCCCATCCCCTCCCTGTGCTGCTGGGCAGGTCCGGGGGGG